AAATATAGGAAAATGATGTCCAGAGAAAGGAGGAATGGTGCAGAAAATCACAAAGATGATGAATGGAACAAGAGGCCAGTGCACTGCTCTGCCCTTTTCAGAGTCATTGGTGATGCTAATCTTTTTATAGCTTTCAGAACAAGAGGCAGAAAGAAGGGTGGAAGCACTTATGTTGTAGTAATGCTGAAAATGGCTGGCAGAAGATGAGGTTACACGGTCCCAGGGAGTTCAGATCAGAATGGCTCAGTTCCTTCCAGGTATGGTCTTGAAAAATCCTATTGAGAGAGTGGAGTGGCAATAATGGTCAAGATCATCTTTGCACTTCTTATCTCATAGAGGGGCTGTGCAAAAAACATCTTGTCAATTTTCAAGAATGACAGAAACATGAACTGTTATTATTATTTTCCATCATACTATTCCTCACCCTGATTTATTCTCACTGTTTTAGATGCAAACTGCTTATCCCTACCACTTCTTTCAAATTCTCATCCCTATTCAGACCAAACCTACTCTTCCCCAGCTGCACTCTGATGGAGTTTGCTCCTTTCCTAGCCCAGGGGCGGGGAAACTGTGGCCTTGAGTCCACATGTGGCTTTCTAGGTCCTTGATTGCATCCTTTTGACTGAGTCCAAGTTTTACAGAACAAATCCTTTTATGAAGGGGATTTGTTCTGTGAAGTTTGGATTCAGTCAAAGGGCTGCACTTGAGGCCCCAGAGGGCCACATATGCCCCTCAAGGCTGCAAGTTCCCCACCCTTGTGCCTGTTCTACTGTGGCTAACCTATTTTCTTTCTTTTGTTTCTTTCATTTCCTTTTTTGCAGCAAACCAGTTTTTCTTTCTTTTTTTTTTGCTTTAATTTCTTGATTACTACTTTTTTCTTTTTATAATTATGCTTTATTTATTTTGAAATTGAATTTTTTTAAAAAAATTGAGTTCCAAATTCTTTCCCTCACCCATTGAAAAGGCAAGCAATATGATATCATCAATTATACATGTGAAGTCATACAAAACATATTTCCAGTACTTTCAAGGTGATGTGATCTGGGGAGAAGCATGGTTACTGCTCTACTGCTCTGTGCTATAGTTCTCACCCAAGAAGAGCTGACGCTCCCTTGTAGCTGCAAATCTAGCTCTCCTCTCTACCCTGGGACTGTGCCCTGGAACTACGTTTGGGTAATACAGTTGCCAAACAGCGCCTGGTCCTTCACCCAGTGATAGCACAGGGGTCCCCTGAAATCTCTTTCTGATGATTTGTCCTGTCACTTTATCATTTTGGGCTGAGAGTTTCCGAAGCTGCTACTGTTGTTACAGCCACCTCCAAAACCCACAGCTGCTGTTACCATTGCATTGCACTCTAGACCAGCCCTGACCCCAGTGTCACAGACCTCTCCTTTGTTTTTAATTAATTTATTTTGATTTACCAACAATCACTTCCATAAGCTTTTGAGCTTTAAATTTTTCTCCCCCTCCCTCCCCACTTCCCTTCCCAAGATTGCGCACAATCTGATGTAGGCTATACGTATACATTAGTGGTGTTGTAAGTAAGAATTAGAACCAATAGGAAGAACCACCAGAAAGAGGAAACAAAACACAACAGAAGGGAAAAAAAGCAAATAGTATGCTTCAATCTGCATTCAAATTCTATAGTTCTTTCTTTGGATGTGGATAGCATTTTCCATCACAAGGCCTTTGGAGATGTCTTAGATCCTTGTATTGCTGAGAAGGGCTAAGTCTATCAATGTTAGTCATTGTACAAAATGGCTGTTACTGTGTACAACGTTCTCCTGGTTCTGCTTACTTCACTCAGCATCAGACCATATAAGTCTTTCCAGGTTTTACTGAAGTCAGCTTGTTCATCATTTCTTATAGCACAATAGTATTCCATTACATTCATATACCACAACTTGTTCAGCCATTCCCCAATTGATGGGCATCCTCTCAATTTCCAATTCTTTGCCACCACAAAAAGAGCTGCTGTAAATATTTTTGTGCATATGGGTCCCTTTTCTTTTTCTTTGATCTCTTTGGAATGTAGACTTAGTAGTGGCATTGCTGTGTTAAAGAGTATGCATAGTTTTATAGCTATTTGGGCATAGTTCCAAATTCTTCTCCAGAATGGTCAGACCAGTTCACAACTCTACAAACAGTACATTAGTGTCCCTGTTTTTCCATATCCTCTCCAGCATTTGTCATTTTCCTTTTCCGTCATGTTAGCCAATCTGATAAGTGTGAGGTAGTATGTCAGAGTTGTTTTAATTTGAATTTCTTGAATTATTAGCGAATTAGAATATTTTTATATGACTATTGATAGCTTTGATTTCTTCCTCTGAAAACTTTGACCATTTATCAACTGGGGAATGACTCAATGTATTTTCACTGGCTGGCCCACATCCCTGAAATTCTCTTTCCTTGGCTCTGATACCTGGATCCCCTGGCTTTGTTCAAGTCTCAATTAAAACCCAACCTTTTTTCAGTAAGTCTTTCCTGGTCACCATACTGCTTGTGCCTTCTCTGAGTTGTTTATATGTTGTCTCCTACATTAATAGGTGGGATCCTTATGGACAGGATCTGGTTTTTTGCTTCCCTTTGAATTTCCAGGCTTTAGCTCTATTCCTGGAATATGGTAAATGCTTAATAAATGATTGTTGACTGACAGGCTTCTTAAACCCAAGACTCAGTCCTCAGCCTTTCTCTCTTCTCTCTCTATACCTTCATTTCTAAGGCTTTGACTATGAACTCCATACAGACGGTTCTCAAATTTACACCTTCAGCCCGTTGTCTCCTAATCTTTACACCTGCATCTCTTGCTGTCTACAAGTTTTGTTTGACCAGCCCCACAAACTCAAAATGTCCAAGACGTTCTCTTTTTCCTGACTTTACTATTTCTCTCCAGGAGAGCACTGTCCACCTGATCTCTCGTTTTTGAAATGTTGGCGTTAGCTCTGACTCTTCTCTTTTCTTCATTCGCTGATCCGTCACTAATCCCTGGGTGCTTCTACCTGTGCTACTAGTATGTTTTACTTTCATCTCTTGTACAGAACTTGGATATGAATCCTGGTCTAGCTATATGAGATGGGGCAAGTTAATTAACTTCTCTAGGCCTCATTTCCATCACCTATAAAATAAAAGGGTTTAGATTATCTCTGAGGTATTTTCCAGCTCTAAATCTAAAACTATGATCCTATCTCTCCACTAAAATCACCACTACCATTATTGAGGCCTCTGTTATTACCTGCTTCATTTATTGTAAGAATCTTCTAAAAAGTCTTCCCATCTTCAGTCTCCTTTCTCTGGTCCAATCTTCATGCCATTTCCAGATTGATCTTTTTGCATTGATCACATCACATTGCCCCTCTGTGGAGATACCTTTGATGGCTTACTATTGTCTGCTAGGTAAAGTTTGGTTTCCCTTACATGGCACTCAAGGCCATTCATTGGCTATAGGGGGGAGGAACCCGCTGCCTCGAGGCCACATGTGGCCCTCTAGGTCCTCAAGTGCTTTGACTGAATCCAAACTCCACAGAACAAATCCGCCTAATAAAAGATTGTTCTGTAAAACTTGGACTCAGTTAAAAGGCCGTACCCAAGGACCTTTGCAAAAGGTACCCCTGCAAAATTGGTAGTTCCAATCTGCCTCTATAGCCTTATTTCTTTTTGTATTGGATATGCGATTTCATCAGGGTGTGAAGTCTCCCATTAAGGGACATCTACCTACCTGTAGGCAATGAGGATTCAGTGACTGGCTCATATGGCAAAACCTGGACTTGAACCAGAGTATCCCTTATTCTGAGGCCAGCTCTGTATCCACAATGCTGCACAACTTCTCTCTATGGATTATTTCATATCACTTCCCTTTAAGTATGCTACCTTCCGGTAAAATTACACTACTTGTTACCTTTCCCACCCCCACACGCCCTCCTTACCTATGCATTCTTGCTTTTATTGCTTGGAGTAGCTTTTCCTGTAATTGCCCCCCCCCCCCCCCCCCCCCCGCCCAAACACATGTATACACACACAGGATTCCTATCTGTCTTTTATTTTATTTGGAGGCAGTTGGGGTTTAAGTAACTTCAGCAGGTCACACAGCTAGTAAGTGTCTGAGGCTGGATTTAAACTCAGGTCCACCTGACTCCAGGGCCTGTGCTCTATCTACAGTATCACCTAGCTGCCCTACCTACCTGCCTTTAAAAGCCCAAGTCAAATGTCACCTCCTCCAGGAAGCTTTTTCTGATGCCCAGGCAACAATATACTTTCTTAATCTTGGGAAAAGCTCTGGGGCTGCACCTTATTTGAGATTTGTATCACTTAGCACAATGCTCTCCACTTAGTAGTTATTTAGTAAACATTTGTTGAAATAAATTTAATTTAATGATCACTTGTTGAATGAATAATCAAACCAAAAACTATTAATGTTTTTTATTAATACAGCGAATTTAGCTGTATTGTAGCTGCCATGACACACTTATTGGCTCAACTAAACTCTTAGTTGAGTAAGACCCCTCCCCCTCCCCTTCGATTTTTCATCTGGATTGTAGGAAAGCCGGATTTCTTCATCTGCATTTGTGTTAGAGAATAAGTGAGGGTATATTCTCATGTGACCACTGCCCTGATTCATTAGAGCATCTTGTTCTTCTTTGTGATTTCATTTCTCCAGCTGAACACAGGGCGACACACAGCACCAAGTAATACCCGGGCACTGCCTGCCCCTCTCAGAAGAAGCCACCTCAGAGCAGCCCAGACAGAGGCATCATGGCCGTTAGCACAGAGGAGTTAGAATCAAGACACCTGAAGTCAGATCCTAACTCTTGATACTCCATAGCTGTGAACCTTGAGGAAGTCCTATCAGCCTGCCCAAGACTTAGCTTCCTAAGCTATAAAAGGGGATAATCATATTTGTCCTTCTGAGCTCTTGAGATTGTTTTGAGAAAAAATGTTTCACAAATGGTTAAGTTCCAAAGAAATGCAATTTATCATTATTATTAGGAACATAAATAAATCAATGAAAGAAAAAAAGTGTTTATTAGGTACTTGAGTTTAAGACGTTTATTAAGTCATGTATTGTCCTAGATGTTGGGAATACAAATTCAGAAGGGTCCTTGTCACTAAGGAGATTACATGTAGGGGAGGGATGAGAGCAGCAATTAAAGGAAAATGGTGGTCAGGATAAAACGGTTTTGATCTAGGGCCTAGACTCTGGGTCATCCCAAGGACTGCAGATAGAACCAAAAGACAGTCTAATGTCCAGCAGCAATGGGAGTATTGATTTGATTACTGTTCCCAGAGTAAGAGGTGGAAAATGGTTGGGGAGGGGAGGGGAGAAGCTGGGGGCTGGGTATTGTGGGTATAATAACAGGGCAGAGGACAAGATGCCTCCTCGTAGGCCTATGTTTTCTGGTAGGTGGCTGGATGGGATTTTAGACTTGGGATTTTAAAGTTGGAAGGGACCTTACAGACCACTTAGTAGGACTCTTCATTTTACAAAGGTGTAAGTAAGAACCCAGAGATGGCAAGTGACTTGTTCAAGGATGACGTCAAGTTCAATCAGCCTGGGGAAATCCTTCCTCCCCTACTTGGGCTTCCTGTGGCCTCCCACACACCCCAGGGCTCCGACTCCCATTCATATTGGTTTTCTGGGGAGCTAGAGGGAGCCCCAGGGCTGACAGGGCATAAACAGTCTGCTCCCCAGAGCAGGCCGCTGGCGCCGGCTGGCCCAGCACATCCTGCCTTGCAGCCTTCCTGGGATGTTTATGCTTCCACCGCAGTGTACAGGACGTCTAGGGTTATGAGTTCCAGACTCGCAGCTCTCTCCCCAAAGCCGACATCTCCCTCACGCGTTGGTCTTGGCCCGGTCTTAGTTGTATCTATTCTGGGAAGGCGAGCACTCAGGGAAAGCATTCGAGGCAAGAAAAGCCTTATCTGCTTGTTTGAACTGCTCAGGTAGAAAGCGATTCAGCTGGAGACTGAAGAGAAGGAGAGGCTGTTTACTGTCATCAGAGAAGTTCTGATTCTGGAATCCCTGGCTTCAATTCCCACTCTGCAAATAGAAGTGTAATAAATCACCCAATCTCTCTGAGCCTCAGTTTCTTTATCTGCAAAATAAGGGAGTACAACTAAATTATCTCAAAGGCCCCTTTCAGCTAAGATGCTGTCAGAAATAGGCTCATTGGCTCATTGGCTCAGAGCCCACCACAGTGCAAGGCTGTGGGGCAATTCCAAGAACAGGCCAGAGACATCGGACTGATAAGTGATTACCTTCTCAGGGTCCTGGTGCTTCTTGCTGGTTCATCTGTTACAGTCAGAAGTCTCAATATCATTTTGTAAGAGTGCCCAGAGGATGACATTAAAGATGACAACAAGGAGGTGAGCAAGTCCTTCCTATTGGCCGTCTCTGCCGGTCCCACAATCCCTCTGCTCTTAAATGGAGCCCCAATGATTGCTACCAGGTGGATCTCTGGATCCACTGGCCAAGAGATCATGTAGTCTCAAGATTGTGGGGTTGTATTCAAGGGGTTAAGGACTGGGAGATGAGGGAGAGGGCCCTGGATGAGGGGGAGGGTGACTGGGATGCCAGGTTGCGAGGAAGGCCCAGGAGGCATTTGACAAGGGTCCAAGCTGTGTCAAGAGAGGTTGCTCTGTGGCTTGGAATGTAAGGACTGACATGTTGGGGCTCAGCCTAGTGCTGTTAGAGACCATGGGGAATTAATCCTGTTTTCCCTGGTATGGATTGCAATGCCTTCATAGATTTTGCCTCCTGATAATTTCCTAATAGGTAATGGAGTAGCCTTGAGAGGGTGCTGGAGGAGGAAGGCCAGAGACTTGGGAGCCAAGTCTGACTGCAGAAGGACCTTCTCTAGGACACACGCATCTGGACGTTTACTGCTGTGTCTGTACCTGGCATTCACTACAAGCCATTAAGTTGTCAGGCCGGGAGCTTAAAGACAGATTGTAAACTCTTTTTTGGAAGCCTTCTCCTGCCAAACATTTCACATCACTCCTCAGCAAAAATCCCTCCCCCGCCTCCCCTAGCTAAAGTCTCTTCTCTTTAGCAAGGTTCTCTCCCCCTCAGCAAAGGTCTCACCCCACCTGACCCCACCCCAGTCTCTTCCTCAGCAAAATCCCTCCCGTTGCCAAGACCTCTGACCTCAGCAAAGGCCTCACTCTCTCAAGGGAGGCCCATAGCTTGTCCTATTCCAGAGAGCTACCCCCGATGCCTTGCCAGCTCTAAACTCCTTCCTCTCCCACTCCATGTTTTAGCACTGAGAAAGAGAGAAAGAATCTGGGCTTATACTATTAGTAGCAATCACTCTATTGGGGATTTTGCTAATTTTTTTTAAAAATGAGGGCAGAAACAGACCAGAAGCTCCTAGAGGGCAGAGGTTGTAGAGAGGTTATGTCTCCAGTGACAATCCTGACATATAGCAGTTATTTAATAATTGTTGACTGACTATGGGAGGGTCCAATGGAGATTGGTGGTGTTTATTAGGAAATGACTGATGTGTCAAAATGAAATATATAAATTGAAAACTATGAAAAAAAAGTCTGGGATCATATCATCCAGTATAAATTCAGCTTCCCAGGGCTGGTAGAGTGTCCTTCCCAGATAACCCCATGTCCAGACACGGAGGTGCCAAGCCAAGGCCAAAGGGGAATGATCCAGGATGTTGAACAGAGATGCTGATATCAAGTCGAAAAGTCACAGAATTTCAGAGCTAAAAGGCACCACTGAGACTTGACTAGCTCAGCTTCCTCCTTTTACAAAGGGAGAAACTGAGTTAGAGAGAGAAGAAAGGAGTTGCCTAAGGTCATCTAGAGCAGCAGTATCAAACTCAAATAGAAATGTCGGCCACTGCTCCATACATAAGGATCCAGCAGGCCTCATATTGACTGAGTTTTAAATGTAATGTTATCTATGTTTTATTGGGTTTTTTTAATTTAAGTATTTCCCAATTTCTTTCCCATTCTCCCTCCTTCCTTCTTTCCTTCTGTCCCTCCTTCCTTCCCTTCCATCCTTTTTTCTTCCTTCCCTCCCTCCTTTCTTCTTTCTTTTCTTTCTTCTTTCCTTCTTCTCCTCCTCCTTTCTTCCTTCTCTCTTTCCCTTCCTTCCTTTCACCTTCTCCTTTCCTTCTCCCCTTCCTCCTTCTCTCCTTTCCTTCCTTCCTTCTGTCCCTCCTCCCTTCTTCTGTTCCTCCCTCCCTTCCATCTGTTTTTTCTTCCTTCCCTCCCTCCTTTCCTTCTTCCTTCCTTCCACTTTTCCCCTTCCTTCTTCCCTCCTTCCTTCTTTCCTTCATTCCTTCCTTTTTTCCTTCCTTCCTTCCTTCATTTCTCCCTTTCTTCCTTCTTTCCTGCCTGCCTGCCTTCCTCTTAAACTCTTTCCATTCTTCCATGCCTAGGAGTATCAGACCATATCGTCATATAATCACAGGATTTTAGAGATTATTAGTCCAAACCTCTCTTTTACAGATGGGTAAACTGAGACCCAGAAAGGGAAAACAACTTGTCTAACAACCATACTGAATTAGTGGCAGAGGCAGTATTAGGACCTAGGTCTCCTGACTATGAGGGCAGTTCTTTGTACACTCTACTGCTGTGCCTACATCAGAGTAGGATTAAGCAGGGGGAAAAAATCTCTTTGGAATTATGGTTTGTCCCAAATATTTTTTTTACAGAGTTGTAATAGACCACAGTTATAAAGATAGTAAGCTCATAAACATTACCTTATTAAGTCTTCTTGGAAACTAGAGGTCGCAGCCCCTCTGGGTCATGGAACAAGAGTTTGGCGTCCACTGAACAAACAGAGGCTAACGTTACATTTTTCACTCATTTAGAAACCTAGTTTCTAATTATAGGACTTGGTACAGGGCAGGGCTGGTCTCCCAAGCATGTGGAGCTGGTGCTCGTGCAGCCTAAAGAGGGCTGTCTGCCCTGGTATACGCTGCGGGGGAGGCTCAGAGGAGGGGCTTCCATGAATGTCATCAGGATCATAGAACCTTACAAAGATTTCCCCCATAAAGGTGGAATCTGAGGCCCAGAGAGGGGAATTTGCCCAAGGTCACACAGGAAGTTAATGGCCACAGTGAAGTAGAACTCAGAACTGAGAAAGCCTTGGTGACGTCTTCTCAGCCAAGATTGAAGAGGGAGGTGAAAAAAGGAAGCTTCATTTTTTTCCTGGTGTTGCTGCTCATTATAGCTCACTCAAATATTGGGGGCTGGTGTGGGTCTGGGATTTTTTTTTAAACTATGAGAATGAGGATGGCTTGATGCAGGGGAAAGAAATAATAGAGACTAACAGAAATAGTAGGACTAATAGAAGAGTGCAGCCCTTCATTTTACAGATGGGGAAACTGAGGACACCTCATCCTGTGTTATTTTTGTCCACATCATTCCATAAATACTCCATAGGTGATCAACCCATTGGACTGGAGGCTTTCCTCAAGGTCTTTTAACATTCTGTAGGCTCTTGTATTTCACTCATTCTGTGTATAGTCTTTTTCCCAACTTTTAAACATTTTTATTTAAAGTTTTGAGTTCGAATTCCGTCCTTCACTTTCTCCTTCCCTTCCCCCCTCCCTGAGACAGTCAGATATAGGTTATACATGTGCAATTATGTAAATCCTTTCCATATTAGTAATTTTGTACAAGAAGGCTCAAATAAAAGAAAAAAAATTAAAGAAAAAGTGAAAAATAGAGTGCTTCAGTCTGTATTCAATCAATATCAGTTCTTTCTCTAGAGGCGGATAGTATGCTTTATCATTAGTCCTTTGGAACTGTCTTGGATCATTGTATGGCTGAGAATAGCTAAGTCATTCACAGTTTTTTGTTGAACAATATTGCTGTTACTGTCTACAACATTCTCCTGGTTCTGTTTACTTCACTATGTATCAGTTCATGTAAGTCTTTTCAGGTTTTTCTGAAGTCATTCTGCTTGTCATTTCTTACAGAACAATAGTATTCCATTACAATCATTTACCACAGCTTGCTTAGCCATTCCCCAGTTGATGGGTATCCCTTTGATTTCCAATTCTTAGCTACCACAAAAACAGCTGTTACAAATATTTTTGCATAAATAGGTCCTTTCTCCCTTTTTTGGATGTCTTTGGGATATAGACCTAGCAGTGGTATTGCTGAATCAAAGTATGCACAATTATAGTTCCAAACTGCTCTCCAGAACGGTTGGATCAGTTCTCAACTCCATCAACAACGCATTAATGTCCCAATTTTCCCATATCCTCTCCAACATCCAAAATTTTTCTTTTTTATGATATTAGCCACTCTGGTAGGTGTGGTAGTACCTCAGAGTTGTTTTAATTTGCGTTTCTATGATCAATAGTGATTTAGAACATTTTTTTTCATGTGACTATAGATATTTTTGATTTCTTTGTCTCAAAACTGTCAGGCTATGTATTTTTTAAAATTGAATTTTATCTTAGACTCAAACACCAGAACACAAATACAGAATAGAGAAAAGAAAAAGAAAAAAAACCCTATCATAAACTTAAATACTGGCACTTAGTTACAAAGTAAGAAAAGGAAAAAAAAAGGCATAGATCATAGGAGAGGATTCAAAATAGGTAACGATAAATTTTCGTGTCCAGAAAGCCTGTCTGATAAATGCTACACGTGTGTTGCTGTGTATTGTTAAAGAATGTTTTGGTTAATAGTATCTATTCCTTTGTGGTGGGTGTTATCTACAGTATTATTATTACTACTATATTATAATAAAATATGTCATATTATTACTATTACTAGTATGATATATAGCATTATATATTACTACTACTATATTACTTGAAATATATGTGTATATATCTATCTAGATATAGCCATACATGTGTATGTATACATGTTCATATAGATAGATATGCACACATATATATCTGTCACATGTTAATGTCGTGAGAATGCTCAGCTCTTTCCTCCCAGAACCATACTCTACATGACTCAGACCAATAGACCTGAGTCATTTGAATTATACTTCCTGATTGGACCTTAAAAGACTTTGAAGGATGATGGGGGGAGGGTGGAGATTTAAAAAAAAATAGATTTGTAGTCCTATGCATCCACAGTAAATACTGTCTTAGGTGAGAAATACCCAGTCCCCAAGAGCTGTGGATAAAAGCTCATTAGAACATGAATTCTAACAGTTCGGAATCAGAATACAAGACAGAGAGACAGATCAAAGGTGGTGAATTCCTAACCTGTTCCAAGGTTAAAATGAACCCTAGGGGTAGGGAGAGGCTTCAGTGTGGAGGCATTGGGATCTGGCATGGCATCAGAGCTGTACTCTCCCACTGTAACAGGGAAACTAAAAGATTCCCCTCATTTTGGATGTAGGGCCCTGGGAGCACAGCAGCTTTTCTTTCAGAAAAAATAGTTGCCCATACCACTTACTGGAGGCTAAGGAAAACTTGAGGCAGAGTGATAGAGGTCACTTTTTGCAGGGAGCTGTTACAGAGTCGTGGCAGAGGCCAGGTGCTAAGAAACTTTGAGACATAATGCCTGTTAGGCACCCTACTTGGTACATGACTGTAAGCAACTGAAACTCTAGAGGTCCCTAGGGAAAAGTTGTTTACTGGCAGGTGCAAAAACCTTCCATGACCTCTGAGATAATAGGATCACAGGTCATAGGATCATAGATTTTGAGGTGGGAGGGACCTCAGAGGTCATCTGGCTCAATCCCTTCGTTTTAGGGATGAGTGCCTGAAACTCAAGAAATGATACAATTTATTTGAGTTTCAGGCATTCTAGTAAGCGTCTAAGATAGAATTTGAACTTTGCTCTACCTGACTCCAAGTGCTTTATTGAACTGTAAAAAAAATTTTTTTTCTTCCTTGAACTTGTGACTTCTGTGTTTGTACGGGGTGTGGTGAAAACAGACTTGATGTAGTCATATAACAAAATTCCCAGATTTCCTAAGTGAGGGCAATGAGCCATGAGAAATCCCCTAAAATGCATTCTCATTATTTGTGTGATATTTGAGAACTTATACTTCATTTTCTCTTTTCCCCCTCATATATATATATATATATATATATATATATATATATATATATATATATATATATATATATATATATATATATATAGTTTTATTTTCATTTTCAGTTCCAAATTCTCTCCCTTCCTTTATCCTCTCCCCAAGCAATTGAGAAAGCAAGAAATACAATACAGGTTTGACACATGAAGTCATGCAAAACATATTTCTGCATTAGCCATGTTGTGGTGGGGGAAAGCAAGAAAAAATAAAGTGAAAATTTATGCTTCAATCTGCACTCAGAGTTCTTCAGTTCTGTCTCTGCAAGTGGATAGTATCCTTTGGAATTATGGCATGTTATTGTATTATTTATTGTATTGTACTGTATTGATCAGAGTAGCTAAGTCTTTCACAGTTGATCAGTGCTACAATATTGCTATTGCCATGAACAATGTTCTCCTGGTTCTGTTCACTGCACTTTGCATCTATTCATATAAGTCTTTCCTGGTTTTTCTGAAATAATTTCCTTCTTCATTTCTTAGAGCACCGTAGTATGCCATCACGGTCATATACCCATAACTTCTTTAGCTATTTCCTAATTAATGGGAATCCTCTCTGTTTCCAATTCTTTGCTACCACAAAAGAGCTGTAATAAATATTTTTGTACATATAGATCCTTTGCTTTTTTCTTTGATTTCTTTGGGATGCAAACCTAGTAGCAGTACTGTTGGATCAACACATTTTTAAAAATTACTTATTTATTTTTATTTTTCAACATTCACTTTTATAAGATTTTGAGTTCCAAAATTTTCTCCTTCTCCCCTCCACAAAACAGCATGCAATCTGTTATAGGCTGTACATGTACTTGATTAATATTAAACATATTTCCACATTAGTCATATTGTGAAAGAAGAATTAGAACAAAGGGAAAAACCACAAAAAAGAAAAAGAGAGAATAGTATGCTTTGATCTGCATTCAGACTCCATAGTTCTTTCCCTGGATGTGATTCGTATTTTCCCTCATGAGTCTTTTGGAATTGTCTTAGACCATTATATTGCTGAGAAGAGCTAAGTCTATCAAAGCTTGTCATCATATAATGTTGCTGTTGCTGTGTACAATGTTCTCCCGGTTCTGTTCACTTCACTCAGCATCAGTTCATGTAAGTCTTTCCAGGTTTTTCTGAAATCCACCTGTTTATCATTTCTTATAGAACAATAGTATTCCATTGCATTCATATACCACAACTTGTTGAGACATTTTCCAGTTGATGGCCATCCCCTCAATTTCCAGTTCTTGGCCACCACAAAAAGAGCTGCTAGAAATATTTTTGTACATGTGGATCTTTTCCCCTTTTTGTGATCTCTATCCAATGGTATTGCTGGATCAAAGGATATGCACAGTTTTATAGCCCTTTGGTCTATAGAAGAGGAAAATCTACCCAATTGTTTTCCAGAATGGTTGGACCAGTTCACAACTCCACCAACTGTGTATTAGTATCCCTATTTTTCCATATCCTCTCCAGCATTTATAATTTTCCTTTTCTGCCACGTTAGCCAACCTGATAGGTGTGAGGTGTTATCTCAGAGTGGTTTTAATTTACATTTTTCTAATCAATAGTGACGTAAGTATTTTTCATATGACTATTGATAGCTTTGATTTCTTCTTCTGAAAATTGCCTATTCATATTCTTTGGCTACTTCTCCACTGGGGAACAGCTCTTATTTTTACACACTTGGTTCAATTCCCTATGTATTTGAGAAATGAGGCCTTTATCAGAGAAACTTACTGTAAACATTTTTCCCCCAGTTATCTTTGTTCCTTCTAATTTACACTTGATTTTCAAAGCTTGATTGGCTCACCTTCTTTTTGTGCTTGTGTATTTCCTGGATGGCAATTTTTATCTCTGGTGTGAAATTCATTTCCAGTAAGATGCTTTGT